ATTGAAAAGTGACCTAAGAAAGAGTAGGAAACTTTGTGTATGCAATTACTCTATGAGTAGAGAACTTGGTGGATGCAACTACTCTAAGGGTAGAGAGAATGAAAAATGCTAGAATAGAGTGAATTAGAAGAGTAGTAGAGATGGGTTGATGCTTTGTGATCATCACCCGACAGTTATGGGAATCGGGTTGATGCTTTGTGATCACCACCCGAATAGCCCTTAGAGATGGGTCGATGCTTTGTGATCGTCACCCGATGAGTAGTAGAAATGGGTAGATGCTTTGTGACCACTACCCGGTTAGTTGTTAGATAAGTGGGTTGATGCTTTGTGATCATCATCCAACATTTAGTAGAAGTGGGTTGATGCTTTGTGATCATCACCCGACAGTGACTAGAGACGGGTTAATGCTTGGTGATCGTTACCCAAAAGTCATGAGAAACGGGTAGGTGCTAGGTGGTCTCCACCCGATAGTTAGGAAAACCGAGTAGGTGCTTTGTGATCCCCACTCGGTAGTCACTAAGAACGGGTTGGTACTGTGTGAATTCCACCCGATAGTCATGGAGAGTGAGATGGTGCTGTGTGAACGCCATCCGGCCGTACCTCCGGTAAGATGAGGCCATGACGTTTAGTAGGAAACAACAGAAAGTGTGAGGAAAGAATTAAGAGTAATACATACCGGGATAGACAGATAGAGGGTTTTACTTACTGAGCATTATTTTGTGCTCACCCCGTTATTTTCCTTTGTGGATGCAGGATCTAGGTGATGATGCAGTCGGAGGGGCGTCGGCAAGCGAGGAGCAATAGCTACACTGTTTCCCCTGTTTTGTCTTTTAAAAATGACTCTTTGTAAACCATACTCTTTGTGTATAAAAGACATATGACTTATAATGAAAAGAAAGTTTTTGGGCCCAATTTTCTATTGTTATTATGCATGCATTATACTAGTTTACAGCAGTTGTTACAGAGTAACTGCTGTTTGTAGAGTGTTCGAGATGAAATTGCTTGAACTGATGAAAATGAAATTGCTTGAACTGATGAAAGAGATAAAGACTGATAAATATTTTGGTGAAACTCTGGCAAGTAAGTTCTGTTATAAGTGATATGTATATTTTCTTTTAAACTATTTGTTCATTTATGATTTATAATATGAAATTTACAATATATCAACAATTACTAACAATATTCTATTATATTTCTCAGTTATTTATACTATTGAATTCCAGAAAAGAGGTCTCCCACATGCACATGTATTGATTTTCGTCTGCGGTGAATATAGGAATCCTTCGCCATCGAAGATTGATAGGATGATATCTGCTGAATTACCAGATAAAGAAAAGGATCCTCTTGCTTATGCAGTTGTTGGGAACTACAATATCCATGGTCTGTGTGGAGATTTAAATACAAGTTCACCCTGCATGGAGAACGGGAAATGTAATAAACATTTTCCAAAGAAATTTGTGAATGCAACAACTGTAGATGATGAAGGGTACCCAGTATATAGAAGGTGAGATACTGGAGCATTTATTGAGAAAAAAGGTGTCAAAATTGACAACCATTTTGTTGTTTCCTATAATAGAAATCTGACGGTTAAGTAAGATGGTCAAATAAACATTGAGATCTGTAACTAGCATAGATCAATCAAATATCTATTCAAGTATGTCAACAAAGGACCTGACAGAATCAAAGTTTCTATGGAGGTTGCAAAAAATAACGAAGGGAGTTCTAGATCCACGAATACTACAGAGGAGGATGAAATTAAAGCTTATGTCGATTGCAGGTATGTACATAGAAGAATAAAATATAATATATTTGTTGTTATTTGTTATAAATATAATTTTGAAAAATGCAATTACTACAATTACAGATATATTTCTGCCATGGAGGCTTGCTGGAGAATATATCAATTTGATATGTACTATAGAGAACCAGTTGTTGAAAGACTTCCTTTCCACTTGGAGAATGAACAAACAGTCGTCTTCGATCCAAATCAAAATTTAGTCAAATATTTAGAGAGCAATCTTGTTACTTAGACAAAATTAACAGAGTGGATGAAATGCAATCAACAATATGAAGAGGCGAGATCATTGACTTATTCTAACTTCCCAACAGAATGGGTTTGGAATGACAAAGAAAGGAGATGGAGTCAACGGGGAGGTGGAAGATGCATTGGCAGAATTTACTTTGCAATTTTAGGCAGCGGTGAAAAATATCAAAATGTTGTTAAATTTGGTTAGAGGAGCAACATCATTTGAAAATATTAGAACTGTTAATGGAGGGTTATATCCTACATTCAAAGATGCATGTTATGCATTAGGCTTGTTAGATGATGACAGAGAATGGAATGATTACTTAGCTGAAGCCTCAATATGGGCTATTGGAACATAGTTACGACAACTATTTGTAACAACTCTTTTATATAATGAAGTCGCAAACCCAGCAAAATTGTGGTGAGCAAATGCAGATCGACTATTTGAAGACATCGCATATAATCTTTGGAAAAAAAACAGGAATAAGAACGATGAGATACAATACGAAGCAGTTACACAATCATGCATTGATTGAGATTGAAGACTTCATTAAAAAGGACAAAAAACAATGGTTGATTTTCATGGATTACCAATTCCAAATCGCACTGAATTTGAAAATACACAAAATAAGTTGATTGTTGAGGAGTTGAACTACGATATTGACAGCAACAAAATCTTGCATGATGATTATATAGTGGTCTAAACAATGGACAGAGAGACATTTTGTAATGCCCAACAGGGAGGTACATGATTTAAATTATGTTTTATAGCCATTAGTTAATTTTTATTAAAGTTATTTTAAGAGAATATGAAGAAAATGTATTAAACTTGCATTAAGGGTAAAATGGTCTTTTCACTCAAAATTAGTTGAAAAAGTGGGGAGTGAAAAGAGGTAGAATTTCATAAAGAATACAATAAAAATGAGGGCATTATGGTAATTGACTAAGGGACAAGGATGGAATTTCCACAAAAGTGTAAGGGCAAAATGGGAAAGTGAGTTTATAAAATAAGATGATAAGGGTTTGTAACCCTTATTTCCTTCATTCCACAGCCACACTACTCCCCCATTTTCTCTCAAATTTTCATTCAATCCTCCAAGGATTTTGAGGGCTTTTGAGTGATTTTTAATAGGGTTTTGATTCAAGACTTCAAAAGGTAAGAATTCATGCTCTTTATCTATGATTTATTTGTGTAAAAGTTGAGTTCTTATGAAGTTTATGCTTAGGGTTAGAAGAAGTTTTGAATCCAACAAGAGTAGAGAGCTTAGTAGAGAAGACTCAAGCATAAGGTAAGTAAATTCCACTCAAAATCCAACTCAAGTTAAAGTTTAAGAATTCAAGTGAGTAGAGATTTCTTTTAAGTATGCATATGTTATGGTTATTGAGAAATTGAGATGAGATTGATGATGAATTATGCTTGTTGTTGGATATATTTGAATATGAGAAGTGTATGTGATGGTTTGATGATGGGTTGAAATTAGAAGAATTGGAGGAATTTTTGGGAGTGTGTTTGCCGTGTAGGTATGGTGATGCTACAAGAGAGATTTTCTCTCATTTTTGGATGGTTGAGAAACAAACTGAATGATAATTAAATTAGGGTTTGTTTATGCACAAGTAATGTTTGATGAAATGCCTAAGAGAAGTATAAGTTTGAGTAGAAACCTTAATTTTATGCAAAATTGCATATTTGCATTTCATGAGTGCATCCAAGTAAGAATTTCAAGCATGAGCCATCCATATGCATATAATTGTGTATGTGTAGAAATTTAAGAAAGAATAGAGAATAAAGACATAAAGAATAAAAAGTAAAGCAAGAAAGAATAAAACACTCTAAGAATAAAGAGAAAGGAAGAATAAGCATTAAAAAATTAAGGAGTGGTAAAAAAGAGAAAAGAATAGGTTATTGTGATGGGGAACCGTGAGTGCTAAGAAGAAATTCTCACATACACGCCACCTTAATTGAGTGGCATAAGAAGAAGAAGAATTATACGACCCGTAAGAGTGTATGTGGATGAGGGTTGTACCAAGAAGAATTTCCTACATGCACGCCACCTTAATTGAGTGGCCTAAGAAGAAAGAAAAATTTGTACGGTCCGCAAGAATGCATGTAGATGAGAACTGTACTCACTCACACGACCAAGGTTCCAAATCCATACATCAACTGAGACCGATTGGCAAAGAATAAGAAAAGAAAGAATAGGAGAGAAAAAGAAAGAATAAGAGAGAATAAGAAAGAATAAGAATAAGAATAAGAATAAGAATAAGAATAAGAAAGAATGAGAAAGAATAAGAATAAGAAAGAATGAGAAGGCTTGAACAAGCCAAGAGAAGAAAAGAAAAGAAAAGAAAAGAAAAGAAAAGAGAAACAAGAGAAGAAATGAAAAGAAAAAACAAGAAAGAAAAGAAAAGAATAGAAAGAAAAAGAAAAGAAAAGAAAAGAAATAGAACAAGAAAATGGAAATATTGCATATGCATTTTATTCATGCATATTGCCATGAATTTCATCATAGTTAGGAAGAATAGAAAGAATAAGAAAGAAAGAACAAAGAGAAATAGAAAGAAAGAAAAGAACAGTGAGAGTAAGAAACAGAGGAAGAAACAGTGAAAGAAAAGAGAAAGAATTAAGTAAGGAAAGAACCAAAGAAGGAGAAGAGTTAAGGGATTTACTTACTGAGCATTTTTATGCTCACCCCGTTGTTTTTCCATGTTTTTGCAGGACATAGGTGAGCAGCGGTCGGAGGGACGTCGACAAGCGGAGAGGATTGGCATTACTGTCCACCGTTGCTAAGTTTTTATACTAGTTATTTTGATATATGTAAAGAATTATTTTTTGTAAGTAAAGAAAACTTTGGGCCCAACTATTTTCATATACTAAGTATGTATGTTTTATTGTATATGTTGTAAAGAATACTAGTAGAAAGAAGTCATTACACATTTAAATTCAATTATTAATTCAGTTTATAATGAAAGAGGAATGCCGTTTTTTGTTTACGGGCATGGTGGAATAGGCAAAACATTCCTATGGTCAACAATAATATCAAAATTGCAGTTTGAAGGTAAAATTGTTCTCATTATTGCTATGTCAGGTATTGGTGCCTTGCTATTACCAGGAGGAAGAACATCCCATTCACGTTTCAGGATACCTTTGGATGTAACTAAAAAGAGTACATGTGATATTAAGAAAATAACGCAATTGGAAAAACTGATTTTGACAACATCTTTGATAATTTGGGATGAAGCACTGATTGCAAATAGGTATTGCTTTGAAGCACTTGATAGATCTTTGACGGACATTTTGTCTGATAAAGATTCGTCAAATGCTAATAGAATATTTGGAGGCATAACTGTTGCACTGGGTGGAGATTTTAGACAGATTTTACCAGTTATACCAAAGGGGAAAAAATATGATGTGATGCAAGCATGTTTATCTTCATCTCCCCTTTGGGAACATGTCACCACGTTGAAGCTAACAGAAAATATGAGATTGAAAAAGAATTTCCAATGCGATGCAGAATTGGATGAGTTGACTACTTTTGATAGATGGTTATTGCAAATTGGTGAAGGAACAGGAGTATCGGAAGATGAAAGCTTTATAGAAATTCCTGAAGATTTGAAACTTTCTCAACACAAAAATCTAGAAGAAAGAATTGTGAATGTTGTTTTTCCGAATCTATCTACTGAGATAGGCAATGTTGATTATATCAGAGAGAGGGCAATATTGACAGCCAAAAATGATACAGCACATGAATTGAATGACTACATTATTCAAAAATTGCAATCAAAATCAAAGATCTATTACAGTTCAGACAGCACTTGCAAAGTAGCAGGGACTTCAAATGATGATGACATTCTATATCCAATAGAGTTCCTTAACACTTTGATGTGCTCTAGTATGCCAAACAAGAATTGCAATTAAAAATTGGAGTTCCAATTATGTTGCTATGAAATTTGAATCAATCAGATGGCCTTTGCAATGGGACGAGATTGATTGTGACTCAATTAAGGAAGTGGTGCATAAAAGCAACAATTATTATAGGATCAAATATTGGTGATAATGTTGTGATTCCTAGAATAACAATGTCCAATGCAGATATGAAATGGCCTTTTAGACTGAAGAGAAGGCAATTACCAATTGTAGTTAGCTTCTGCATGACTATAAACAAAAGTCAAGGTCAATCACTCAAAACGGTGGGATTGTACGTAAAACACCAAGTATTTACCCATGGACAATTATATGTTGCCCTATCAAGAGTAACTTCGAGAAAAGGAATCAAGATCTTATTAGTCCAACAACAAGATGAACCATAAGAAAAGTTGTGAAATTTTGTTTTCAAAGAAGTGTTCCACAAGATAGAAAATTAGATATGATATTGATTCTATAACAATGCAAAGTTTCAAATACAGAATATTTGACAAATATTTCACAACACCATTATACTATTTCATTATTTGTACAAGTAGTATTGCATGGTGTAGATACATTTTCAGTAGCATTATCATTAATACAAACTTCATTAGAAGGATTCTGCCCTTTCTTCAACACAATTTTTTTCCAAAAGAGTCTTCATTTGGAAATTTTGACTTGAAAGCATCTACACAAGCGTTTCTGACGGCCATAAACATGTTTGCCACCAAATCTTCAACTTCATTATTCTCTTTCTTAGCTTTGACAACCAAAGATTGGATTTTTCTATTCTCATTAGACAATTCGTGCAATCTTTTTATCACAACTTCCTTTTCTTTTTGTTGATTTTCAATAGATTGTTCAGCAGATGTAAATGCTTCGTGAAGATGTTTCAAGTCATCTTCAACTTTATCTACCCTCTCTTACAAAACCTTTCTCACTTCTTCTAATTTTTGTTTGTCAGAATTCAGAACTTCGATTTCTTTTTGCAATTTTGAAATAACATTCTCCGCTGCCAGCCAACGCTCCCGAGCTTCTTCCCAAAGTTCAAAACCCTATTGCAGAAATACAAGGGAAGAAGATAAAATCTCCATGAGACACGTTTAAAAAAAGTACAAACTTAACTGACCATTAAATTGTTCCAAAAAATAATACCTGACTACCAACAAAAGATATCTTATTATCTAATTCTTCCGTAGATAGTGTTCTATATTTCCTCTCATTCTTTATATTCTCACTCCCTAACTGAGATGTTTTTTGTTGCTTTATAAACCTACATAATGGAACCTCTTTTGTTGCATCATCTTTCTTTTCAATAACTTCAACATGACATGAACCAGAGGGGGATACAATAGGATTAGGCATTGATACTGATGAAACAGAACTCTATAATTGATTTATCAACTTCATTGTCGTGGCAATGCTTGGTCTTGTACTAGATGCTGATTTGGCCTTGACTCTATCCATAAACTTCAGCAATTTTTCAAAAGCCACATCTAAAATTTAAAAAGCACACTTCATGACTTATAAAAAAAAGAACAATAGAATCATCAGTCAACCTAAAAAAACAATATTTCCAAACTGCCTAAAATCATCAGCAAAGAAAAATAATAGTATAAAAAATTATCCTTACCTTCTTAAAAAATTGCATTAATGAATACTACAGTAAACCAACAAGACAAATTATAAACAAAATTTCTGACAATTTGTAAACCAACAAGACAAATTATAAACAAAATTTCTGACAATCATGAGTTCAAAGTGATTACAAACCATTCAAATATGGAAATTCCTCACTAATTTTGATTTGGATATTCTATTATACAGATTGTGTGTAAATGCATATCGAAATAAACAAAGAAATAAATTTTACTGTTGTAAAGTTGTGCAAACTGATAGGATTTTTTACAAAACTGCTCAATGTTATCAATTTGCTTGAAATCACAGCAACAAATCCGGTGTGATAGAAACATAATTATATACGTTAAGGTTAAAGAGTTTGAATCAGGCTGAAAAAAATACTCTTAAGCAATAAAATGTCCTTAAAATTAATAAACATATTGAACGACAATGTTTAAACAACATATAAATTTTATCAATCTAAATGACGTCGCACATCAAAATAATAATGCCAGTGTTTTTATCATTAAATAATAATTCCTTTAAAACAGAATAACAATAATTGCATATTTTATTTTAAACTTAATGAACACACATGGTATAATAATAATTGCATATTATTCTTATTAAAAAAAATATTTTCACTAAATAATTTATCGTATGGACAATTATAAATTCTTGAAATCCAATTGCCACAGAAAAATATACAATAAAATAAACATGATTACCACTAATCAAATATAATAATTAGTGAAAAGAAATAATATCTTATGAAAATGTTGTCTGATTTCCTTTTCATCTTTCATTACAATAACATTAGATTCAAATTCGGATAAAAACTTAGTGATTTGTTACAAACATTATTTTTATAATAAAAATATTGATTACAATTTAAATATAAATTGTTAACATTTATTTGGTTTTAAATTTGATATAATATCAATGACTGTTGTCTTTGACAATTTCCAAATAGTTTTTGCACATTCTTCAATCAACCAGTTTATTTATTATGATACGTCTGTTCGTTTTCTAACTGTTCGGTTTCCATACACATTAAAATGATACTTCCATGCTATATATATATATATATATATATAGAACGATTACTAAAACTGCATTTGTATCATTATATAAATTTTTATTATAGTTTAATTATCTGCTCAAGCTCTGTTCGCGTTTTTTAAAATGACGGATAAAGGCAAGAAGAGAACTGGCGAAAATATTTCAAGTTTTTCAACAAAAAAAACAAAAAGGTAAGAAACAAATCCGTTTGCATTGATAATGTTTCTCTGAATTCAAGTACAAAGAATTTTTAATTTGTAATATTTTGTAAATTGATACAATTCCATGAATTTCTTTTTTTGTCAGTTGGTTCGCCAGTGAATAAAAATGATGAATCGAAAAACTTGAAGCAACTTCTGCAGAAAGTCCAGACAAATTTGGATGATATAAATGCTGCAAGACTCGATCTAAAAGATGTTACCAATGAAATGGGTAACATCATGGATTCTTGCATGGGCATTGTCTTTGATCTAAATAAATGGGAGAGTTTGGCTGCTGAAGAGGAATTGAAAATTCTTAAACAGAAAGTTCAAGATCTTTCCTCTACATCATCCAAACATACCTAATAGTAAAAAATGATAATGTAATCATGTTTACAATACAGATATAATAAATAAAATTCTTTTTTAATTGTCTCATTGTCAAATGTTTAACTTATTAAAAAGTTTATTATAACATGTTCTAAATAATTTTTGTTAGATACAATAACAAACCTTAAAATACTATAATAAAAGCAATTGATATTGTTCATCAATGATAGTAACTAATAAAAAACAGAATGAGAAATGTTTAATTATATCAAACAATTAATCAAGCAATACCATGAAGAGATGAATGACAAGAAGGTAAAATAGACAAATCAATTTTATAAAAGAGAGACATGACATTTGCTCATAAAACATTATAAAATACCTAATAATATTTTTTTCTGTAAAAATTGATTGTCAAACTGGAATTCATTTTCGAATACCAACTGTTAAATTTTAAGTGTTGTAAATTTTATTGTTCAAAAAAAGTATAACTCATTCGCAGCAATATTCAACTGTTGGCGAATAGTTTTGAATTAATAACTATACTTGCAAACCCATTGACAAAATTTATTAATAAGTTTTCCAAACGTTTTCGAATTTATACATTTAATATATAATTATTGTAATGACTTCTTTCTACTAGTATGCTTTAGAAAATATACGATGGAAACATACATACTTATCATATGAAAAATAGTTGGGCCCAAATTTTTCTTTACTTATAAAATATAATTCTTTACATATACCAAAATAACATGTACAAAAACTTGAGCAACGGTGGACAGTGATGCCATTTCTCTTCGTTTCTCGACGTCCATTCGACCGTTTCTCACCTATTCCTGCAAAACATGGAAAAACAACGGGGTGAGCACAAAAATATGTAGTAAGTAAATCCTCTACTCCTTTATCCCCACAACTTATTCTTTGGTTCTTTCCTTACTCTATTCTTTCTCTTCTTCATGCTTTCTTTGTTCTTTCTCTGTTTCTAGTTCTCACTGTTCTTTTCTTTCTTTCTAATTCTTTTTGTTCTTTCTTTCTATTCTTTATTCTTTTTCTTTCTATTCTTACTAACCATGCTGGAAACCATGGTAGTAGTATGCATGAATGCAATGCACATGCAATAATGCATAGAAATGCAGTTTCTTTCTTCTTTTCTATTTCTTATTCTGTTTCTTTTCTTTTCTTGCTTGTTCAAGCTTTCTCATTCTTTCTTCTTCTTATTCTTTCTTCTTCTTCTTCTTCTTCTTTCTTTCTTTTCTTTTCTTTGCCGATCGGACTCGGTTGATGCATGGATTCGGAACCCTGGCCGTGTGAGTGAGTACAGTCCTCATCTACATGCACTCTTGCGGACCGTACAAGTTTTTTCTTCTTCTTATGCCACTCAATTAAAGTGGCGTGCATGTAGGAAATTCTTTTTAGTACAACCCTCATCCACATACACCCTTACGGGCCGTACAAATTCTTTCTTCTTCTTATGCCACTCAATTAAGGTGGGGTGTATGTGGGAAATTCTTCTTCTTATCACCCACGAGTTTCCCATCACAACAACCTATTCTCTTCTCTTCTTTAGCACTTTTCTTTTCTTTCTTTATTTAGTACTTTTCTTTCTTTCTCTTTATTCTTAAAATTCTTTATTCTTTATTTAAGTTCTCATACATATGTAAATATATGCATATGGATGGCTCATGCTTATGTTTCTTTCTTAAGTGCAATTATGCAATGCAATTATGCTATGTTGCACAAAAGTAAGTTTCTCTACTTATGCACAAGCTTCTCTTAGGCATTTCATCAAACATCATG